TTTGTGATTGGTTATCGAATATTCCCATGAAGTTATCCAATCAAAACACAGAATCATACATCCCTACTTTTGGTTATTTATTTAAATTTTGGAGAGTTGCCCTGGCCGGGTTTTACCAGCAACCACTGTAGTGTTTATATGGAACTTTGTATGCTCGGACCACCCTACTGCAAGTTCATCTCAAAGTGGTTAGCTTTCGCTAACCACTACTGTACAGTACCATTGCAGTTAACCCCGGAGATTTAGCATCGTATGTACTCACCGGGGATAGTATGGAATCCCAGGTTACAGGGCTAGGGCGAAAAGGTGTATCCTGATGTGATAATTCCCTCATTGACAGTGAAACAGTATTTCGGGTCAAAACAACAATGCAACTATTCCTAAAAAGGGCTAGTACAATCGACAATTTACCAGCTGGAACTGGATTTAACGGACGATTATCCGGTTTACAGTTCGTTGCATAGACAGATAAAATATAGTGCAGCACTTGCATTTCTAATCACAAGGCAACACTCACTTTCTGTAATGGGTTAACAGTACAGTAGGGTCCAGACAACACATTCTGCAATGGTTTAACTGTAAGTGTAACGTTAAGTGTATCCAAGACTGGTATACACCGTAGACCCTAATTAGTGCGGACGACCAATTCCCCCACAGCAGGGTACCACCCCTGTTCTGGGGGAAATTAAAAATAACGGATACTGTAATCGACCAGATACACACTGTACTACGTGGTAGGTCAGCTCGCTTGAACCATTCATTTTATTCGGTTAATCTAAACTTCACCGAAATCGTGTCGAATGCCCAGAATCCGATTTGTGCTATGAATGGCTTCGTTTCCCACGAGTACTTGCTTGATGCAATTGAGATGAATATAAATGATGCCTCCAACACTGAAGACGACTACAGCTTCCTTGATGTTATCGATTGTGTAAAACAACATGACTTTGGAAACTTCGTGTATTTGCCTGAGCAGTTGAATGTATTTAGCTTGAAACAAGGATCTTATCAACCTGGTGCTTGTGGAAACTTATTTTACCCTTTATAGTTAGTTCCATCAATATGCTAAACATTGCGTTGAATGATCTGAAATCTGAGCCAAGTGTCGTGATGCCTTATGCGACAAAAGCAGTAGGTCTGCTGCCAGATGCGTCCCAGTCCACGCACTTCCCGGTGTCGACAATCCGCACACGTAAAACTGTACGTGTGAACCCAAGTTCCAATACTACAGACACGTACTTCAAGTCGTCCCAGGCAGCACTGTTAGGTCTTAAGATGTTACTGTAGCATGACAAAGTTGGCTGGGGTGTAACAGGGCGCGCCGACGGGGCCCGTTATGTGCAGGACAATAATACCGGTTGTAATTACGTAGGGGAATGATGGGAGATGCAGGGGTACAGTAGCAGAGTATCCTCCACCTTGTTGCTAGCTAGCACCATTGGTGGTTAGCTACAACGGAGGGATGGTTATGGCAACATGTATACTGGTAGTCAAAGTGGCAATCCCGAAAGTGGAAATCCCCCCGTGTAGCGAATGCGCAAATGGTGCACCACGCCAACGTTAAGAATGCAGAGCTTATTACATAAAGGAGGGAGGTGGTTACCCCAGCTCGTCTACAAACATCGACAACTGAGCACAGGTACAGTACATGCAACCGACTGCGGTTAACGCTAGACTCCTAGTTGATGCGCTTCTCGCTTGATCTGCTTGCGCACGACGTTGGACAGCATCATGGCCGTGGGGCGGTCTTCGGGGTCTGTGGCGATGCACTGCTGGGCCATGTCCCGCACCCACTCGGGCATGGTGTGCGAAAATGTCGGCTTGATCGTGCCTGCAATCACCATGCTCATGATGGCCGTGTCCACGAGGGGCTTGCCGTTCTTGGGGTTAGTCACGTCAGCGTACGGGATGTTGTGCGTGTCGAGCTCGGACAAGATCATCCCAAATGAAAACATGTCGGCAGCCACCGAGTAGTGGTTCACCTGGAGGATCTCGGGCGCCATCCACCGGTATGTGCCGACGCCGACGGTCATGGTCTCTTGTGTGTCTTCTTTCGACACACCAAAGTCCGTGAGCTTGGCCGACTTGACTGAGTCCAGGAGGACGTTGCGGCTCTTGAGGTCGCGGTGGATCACTGGCATCGAGTGGAGATACGCCAACGCATCGACGATCGCGGCAATCACATGGATCTTTTCGTTCCAGGTAAAGTCTACTGCCGTACGCGCTATCAAGTTGTCCCGCAAGTCGCCTGCGTTCATGTACTCGAGCACGCACTCCAAGTCGGACGGCTGGTCCCAGCAGCACCCCACCAGCTTGACCACATACGGCGACGTAAAGCTACAAGATAATACGAGTATTATGTACTCAACCTCGTCACAACAAATATATATGTTGTGGTTGGTTGGTTCAAGGTAATAAGTAGTAAGTGTACAAGGTAATAAGTAGTAAGTGTACCTCGCGAGCAGCTTGATTTCGTCAATCAAGCCCTGCACTTCCGACACTCCCACGCGAGAGCTGAGCAGTTTCTTGATGGCCACGGGCGTGCCCTTGTACGTGCCGTACAAGACATGGGCGTACGCGCCAGATGCAATCTTCTTTTGCGGCACCACGTCTTGCTGGTTGAGACGGTACAGCGTCAGCTCCGACATGTCGATACCCGTGGCCGTGTTGTCCGTGATGAAACGGGTGCTCGTCGTGCCTCCCGCAGACTTGCCGCCTTCGCGTTGGTATTCAAACTCGGCGTCGGACTTGCGGTTGCGACGGCGGATGAAGAAGCACAGGGCAGCCACCAAAATGACGACCCCGATAGCCACCACGCCCACAATGAGTCCCGTGTCTACAACGAATCAACGTCAAACTTGAACTTTTGACGAACTGCACTTTGCACTTGAGTTTGCAAAATATGGTGGTAAATAAATACTTCGAAGTATGTGTGTCACTTAGTGGTACTGCATGTATTGTCAACATTCACAGTCAATCGAATACGAGTGAGTTGCACCAAATCGGCCGATAATCGATCGACCAATCAAACACAGATCACTAGTCAAGTAGCCTATCAAATCCACTCTTTGACCAATTACTAGTAGTTTTAACATCGAATTCGTGCGTGCCATCAACTACCGTATACCTTATGGATCTGTACCCTCGAAAATGTCAGGAAAATCTGATCGAAATGGATATACAACTTGGTCTGATTTCTTTCCAATGCGTTCGGATTGGTTCCTTCTTCTACTTTGACTTGTTTAATTGGCTAGAACGAGATAGTTGGATATTTTTTACCAATATAAAGCGACTTGGGTACCACCAAATCGTCACCATACAGCAATTTGGGTACAACTCGATAAGGCAAAATCAATACGGTAGTGTGACACTGGACCATTTACTTATACATGCAAAAGTCACTATCGATAGATTTGACCAATCAGTCCAAATTTGGGGTAACAAACAGGACAAGGTGAAGAGGTACACCAAAGCCACAACGTACTGGACGACGACGCGACAGTTGGAGCTGGCGTGGGCAACAGCGTCGTGGCCGCAGGCGGTGGGGTAACCACGCACACGGAGTACGTTTTCTTGTTGATGGCAGCGTGCAACGACCAGAGTTCGGTCACGACGCCCTTGACAGCATCGCATTTCTGGGCATCTTGCGTGATGTTGCTGATGTTCATCCTGAAGCCGTACTCTTGGGCATCAAAGAACGATTGGTTGAGAATTTGGAACGGGCCGAGCGAGTCGAGCGCCCCAAACGAGTTCAGGTCGAGTTCAAAGTGCGAAATGTTGGCATTTGACAGGACGCTACGTATATATCGTTATGAAGATTCGACTAGATTTTGATGGAGGAATATAAAACTGTATTCAAAGACGACCAGGAGAGAATATATAAATATATACTAACGTTACAATATATACGTACAAGGATTTGAGCATGCCCTTCTTGAACTTGACGTTTGAAATCTCCTGGAGCTTGTTCTTGTGCAAAAACCTAAGACACATTGAACGTTAGCCGATGAGCTAGGCTAGGCTAGCCCCATGACAGGTTAGCCGGTCAGGTAGGCTAGGCTAACCTTATGCCAGGTTGGCCAATGAGCTAGGCTAGGCTAGGCTATAGCCCTATCGTACATACGTACACGTGGGTTTTGTTGGTCCAGTCCAGCTTGTGGTAGGTCAAATTGGTGATTTCATTGCCGTGCAAGTCCCTAATAAGATTGTCCAGGTCAACCTTGGCATCAGGCCAATATTTATGAAGTGGCTGGTTGTGTGTACAAGTATTGGACCGAATACGGGATATTGGGCAACGTATCGGTGTTCAATGGCTGGTACAAGAACGTCCTATTCGTCAGTTTAGAACCGCAAACAGTTGGGAGCAAGTCATGTGCGTACCAGTCAAAGAGATTCACGGGTAAGGTCTTGGGAATGTTGGACGTGTTGGTTTCGATAAACAGCCTACCGAGGGAAGGAGCGTAATGGGCCATTCGTCGCGGGGATACTATAGAGGGGGTATGTACGTACAAGTGGCCTAAGCGATCGGTGTAGTTTAACGTTTCTGGAATCACAGGGATGGACATGTTGTCGAACAACCTAGAATAGTGGACGTCAGGGGGGGAAATAATGGTGTTATGACTTGATCGCGGCCGTACAAGTATTGCAATGTCCTGCTGAAAGTGATGGCATCGATGTTCAACTTTGTAAAGTTGACCACCGATCTACGGACAACACACGGGAGCCATAGTACGAACCAACAGGGGCAAGGCGTACGTACAGGCCAATGGTGGACAAGTTTGAGAGATCGCCGATCGCGTCGACAGAGTCCCATCCGGTCTTGTAGCCATTGACGTATGTCATGGTGATGGTTCCTTCGATGCCGACACTCGAGATGTTTTTGGTCACTAGGGCACACTTGGAGTCGACGACGCACACATCGGACACATTGCCCTTGCAGAGAGGTCCCGCCACGACGATGCGGGATGCGTTCATGGAGCCATATAGGCATGGAGCGGCGCTCATCGTCTAGGCTCGTTGAAGAGATAATAATGTGCGGGTGGGTAGGTGGGGGGTTGAGCCAGTCTGTCGCTGGTGTCGTTGAAGCTGTGATGCACTTGATCTGGTCGCTGTTGATGCCAGCTCTTACAAAGATTAAGGATATCATTCCGGACATTCACTGAACCAGGCATACTATCCTATTTAGTACAATTTGTATTCATTGCATTCGCCACAGTCAAAGTAATTAGGTAAGCGTCCGATTGATTCCGAATTTAAAACGATTGTTCCAATTGACCGACTACTATTTCAACATAGGGTGACGATATTACAAACGTACAGTTAGTACTGTATGCATCGTTTATCATGAATAATACACATAATATGTGGCTAGCGTGTGGACTTATTTCTCAAACACAATTCTAGTTAAGTTGCATCTCACTCAAAGTATGTGCAATGGTTTTGTGAAGACATATAAAATGAAAATGTCACCAACTTTGCGGAAATCAGCTGGCAGCATTGAATTACTGTAATATTGCGATCACTAAAAACCTTGGGCCTCCTTTTCGTCAATTTTATCACCAAACCGCTCGTTTGACACATTTGTTGTTCTGTAGTTGCTCCATGCTGCAGGGTTCAACGGGTATTTGCCTCATCATCTCGGATAGGATGTGGAAATTAATTCCTGTACTTGTTACATTTATACATGCAATTTATGGAGTTTTACTATCCGTTCGCTACCCATTCAAAATACAGTAAGTATATCAGAAATAAACGTGACATCACCACTTGTGCACAAGTGTGCGAGAAAATATCGTCACTCAATGCATGCAAAATGGTACAATTCCCTCATTTAAACAGTTCCACTGTTTTGACCCGAAATACTGTTTCAATGAGATTTATAAGGAACTTTGTATGCTCAGACCACCTCACCTCTTACTCGGGGTTATGTGCATCTCCGTGGTTAGCGATAGCTAACCACTAGCGATGCAGTTAACCCCGGAGATTTAGCATCGTATGTACTTACCGGGGTAGGACGGAGTCCCAGGTTACAGGGCTACTAGCGAAAAGGTGCATCCGGATGTAATAATTCCCACATTGAAACAGTATTTCGGGTCAAAACAACAGTGGAACTGTATTACAGTTAATAAGGGAATTATTCTGCAAAATGGCGGAACTTGGTGGGTGAATGAATACACATGATATTAATAGGAAGGTCGACGTGGCATTGGACGCATACCAACGTCTACAAGACACATGCGCACATCGCAACCTACACAGTGGGAGCTAACTACAGATAGCGGCACATCCAATGCGAAGGTGCAAGAGAGTACAAATTTGGACCTCCGTCGTCTTCGCTTTCGTCCTGTACACTCCACGCAGGTTAGAATGCTTGCAGGCACTACTTTCCTACACATGTGGAGTACATTACATCTTACAGTTTCAGGTCAACTCCATGCGTCGATCGTTCCCGAGAAATCGTCCACCTGCGCGCGGTTGGGGTATGTAATTTAGAATACTTTGAGTAATATCATTATTACGACAGCTTGGCCGAGCGGTTAAGGCGATAGACTCGAAATCTATTGGGGAAACCCTCGTGAGTTCAAATCTCACAGCTGTCGGTCTTTTTCCTTGCAAGGTCATTGAAAAAGCAATACTATAATTCAAAGTAGTACTACGTGGGATTCTTGCGATGAAGCATTATGGTGGAGATCCTTCACGATACATTATTGTACATCATCACACACGGCGTTCATGTTGAACATGGGCGGATTTATTTACTATGTTATGACAGAGACGGCAGTCAGTGCAGGCATTTCTAATAGCGAAACACCGACAGGTTGGGGCCGGCCGTTTGAGTTTGTCTCGATTTCTCGTCCTTGTACAGCAACTTGACTTCCTTCTTTTCTTCCCGTCGTTCCTACGAGTCGCCGTCGTCAGTCCGTTGTTTCAAATCACGTTCAAAAGGGTACCTTTTTGTGCGTTTTCGCCAACGTCTTGCGCAGCTTTTTGTCCTCTTTCGTTTCGCCCTTTCCCCGACTTAACTGCAGCGCCTTTCGCCGGTTGTCATCCGAGCCATCGTCCGACACGTCCTAGTCACAAGTTAACACAGGAAACTATGGACAACGCTATGGTGGTGTTGTTCTTTTTAACTGGAGTGACATGGGGAGAATATATCGACCAAACCCATAATGTACACAAGAAATCATCGGCAGAAGGATTTAGCCAATCAGATTGCAGGAAACCAACCACCATCAACGTCAAATTCGTGTGTGACTTCACAATTAGTGTGATTCGAATCCCAATACACGACCCTTTTGTACATATAAAAAATGCAGTACAAAACAATCGATCGATGGATTTGGCGATATATCGATTCATAGTCCGCGAGGGCATCGAGGGAACCAGAGCTCCCTCTTGAAAAATTATAACTATATTACAGAGGCAAAATTAAATTGATTTTCTGCTTCACTTGTGGATATTGCAATCGAAATATAATAAAAATATTGCAATATCATTTCAAAATGGACATCGTGTTTCACAAGTTATTATGGTTCATGGATGCATTTCTTGTAAAATTCAGACCAAAACAAATCATATTGTAAGAGATATGTCATTCCGGAGTGCAGTGGGCATGTTAAGTACATGTTCAGGCGAATCCGATACTTCAGCAAACGAGGAAATTGACCTAGCCAGTCCCAACATACGAGCAGAAGTTCCCTCGATACCCTCGGGGACTGTCAGCACAAAAAGTCCAAATTTTTAGGGTAAAACGACAGTACCTCTTCTTGAATCGGCGCTGTGGCCGTCAGTGGCACAATGTTCAACGGCATGCCCGTCTTGGACGACAGCACAATCGTGGACGAGAGGGCGATTTTCTGGGCTTTGGTCTTCTTCTTGCTGGTCTTGGACGGTTCCCGGATCATGGTCGGATGGTTGTCCAAGTTGGAGTACGTGCTTACAATCGTCTCGCAATCCCACTAGACACGTGAGTTTTTTTTTACATTTGTTTATAATCGAGTTCGATCCCATCACGTGAGTTTTCAATGAAAACTCACCTGGTCCTCGACCCGTTGTACCAAGTACGGGTTGGCCGACAAGTCGGTCAAGTCGGCAGGTTCGATTGCGGGCACGGGGTCTGTCGGTTTCATCACGGCGACGTCCTCCGCCGTCTCGGCACATTCGGCCAAAATGTCCTTGAGGCGGTTGCCCGTGCGCAGTGGATTGCCCAGTCGGCCTTCATCCGCCATCAATTCCTGTCGAATGTTGACGTAATCGTCCACGATCTGCTCCAACAGCGCGCCTTCCAACACAAGTTTGCCGCGTGTGTCGTCTTCTTCGAGCTCTCCGACCTGCTCGTCGTCGTACTCGTCGGCCATGAGCTTATCAAACGCGTCGTCCAGCGCTCGCTGCGCCTCATCCTTGTCTTCTTGTTCTAATTCTTCGTCATCGCTGGACTCGTCTTCATCATCCGACAAGTGTCCGCGGTACTTTGGAATGCCTTCCGCCGCCGCCATCAACTTGGCAATATGTGCATCGTAATCAAACCCATCTATCGATACCCGTGTCAACAACATCATATCGCAGGACTTGGGCAAATGGGTGGCTCACCTGCGCCACCAGCCGCGGCGCCATCACCTTGTTCCACCGGTAAATCTTCCGCCGCTTGCAACATAAAGTCGTCCGTGAGCTCTTCGAACGCTTCGTCGTTCACCAACGCTTCTCGCAAGTCTTCATCCATGACGTCTAAACACGATTTCAACCACACAAAAAACATCGGTGAGAAGCAGCCATCCATTCCTTGGCCAGCCACGTGAGGTTTGCTGCTGCAGAATACATGGCATATATATATATGCTATCGATTGACATATACCTTCGGTCAACGTGATAGCGTCCAACATCCGGTCGTGTTCGTTGGCACTCGCCAAGACATCGTCTGGTAGCACCACGCGCTTGTTCAAGAGGCCAGCGCTGGTCACATACATAACTCTCACATCAGCCATCACGATCGAATATATGTTGTTGCAAAATACATTTGACTGGGAATAAATCGTACCCTTCGTCGTACGTGCCGCCAGCAGAGTAAAAGTGACCTTGACCTATAAACACCATTATGAGATGTACCAAGTGACATGCGAAGGGAACTTGCCCATTTCTTTCATGTGCTTGGAGTAGTCGTAACCATCGTTGACCATGCCGAGTTCATTGACCAAGTCGTGGGCTACCACATTGCCGAATCGAACGGCCTACATGCATATATGCCATAGGATAAGTTTGGTGCTGGTGCGGACTAGGAGGTTGCGTAGCTGCCGAACCTTGGCAGCGGGTGGGGCGGTGGCGGATTGAGGCACAAGATCTGGGAGGTCACTGTCGTCTGAGTCGTAGTCGTCGACGGCTGGCTTCGACGAAAGCAGGACAAACTTCGACGCGGACGGATCGTTGATCAATGGATCGCGCTGACTGCGATGCACAACGTGAAAGTGCTGGGCTTCCTTCTTGTTAATAAACGCTTTGCTCTTCTTGCCCTACATATACATGTAACCTGGTTGTTCGCCGCGGCGGCGGCGGGGCCATGACGACGTACCATGGTTTGCTGCGGCTGATGGGAATGTTGCTTCTGCCAATCCCAGACAGGTTTGATTGGTGAGGTTGACCTTGCACCTGATTGGTGCATCCGAAGTCCGAAGCGATCGGATTGGACGAGGCTACTCAAACGACGCTGATTGGCTTGATTTGATTCGCGACCTCCGAACCGACACGAACGACCTTCATCAGGGACGGAGTACTGTCGAACTTTACGTTGATCGATCGGGCCATATTGGTACTAACTAGCCCCAATGCGCAAGTTTGCCGCAATGGACAACCAGAACATGGTGACCGGCTCGTTGGGCCAATGAATCCACCACGTTCCGCGAAATGCAGGCAACCAAGTCCTAGACACGGCTGCAAGCATACAGTAGCCTCCAGCGTTCCACACACTAACGTAACGGATTCTAAAACAACCAGCTGACTACAGGGAATGACGTATTAAACGCCCCCGTGGTACTAAAATTTCGTATTGATTAAAGTATTGAAATTTCGAAGTAGTTTGTCCCAATACACAATTGAAATGCCAATTCGAAGTACCACGGGGGCGCTTAATACGTCATTCCCTGTACAGTACAACATGCATCGAACATTCTTTCAAAGGCACGATCTGGAACATAGACATGAGTTTACACTAGGATTGTGTCGCCGCACAATCGAGCCCGACGACATGCAACCGGCCATCATTATGCAGTGGTGTCTTTGCTCTGTTGAAGTGACTGACTGCAAGTTGCGCAAAGCTTCACACTATGTGTCGCCAGGACTTCCGAGGAATACAGTAGTACTGTACCACCCAATACAATCAAAGGACTTGAAACACTCCAGTCAAATGATCGACACTCTTGGCAGAATGCTCCACCGAAGAGTGTTCCTTTTCGTCCACCTACTGTAACAGCATGACACACCCAGCAGAACGAGGCATAGCCAGCACCAAGTCAGTCGCGGCGGCTCTGCGAAATGTTTCGTCAAAAACATTTTGAGCTTCCTGACTCGTCTCATTCCACACTGGCGCAAGCACGCGTAAAGTACGATTTTGTCAACAATCTAAGCGATCATATCTTGTATTTATAAGTATATTTATATTTGTATTTAGTATAGCTGGTATAGAACCAAATTGTTTCAAGTGCATTTTATCATGTGAAGGAGGGTCGAATAGCACCGCACTTCAGCGGACTTCGCCCTCGTCGCATGTGAAGCTTGGGTGTCGAATCTGGCGTTCGTAGTTCTCATTGGCCCAGTCCGACACGCCGACTTTAATTCAGAACGAATCGTACTTTTAATCTAATTGGGACAAATATCATCCTAATTAGAAGGATTTCGCTGGCTTTAAACCAACATTCCTATAATACATGTAGTTGTGGAACCTTTGGTTGCCGGTGTGATAAACTTTGAGATGCGACAGGATGTGCTGGTTGGTGTGCACGAGTTCTCAGTGTCAAATTTCATCCCAAACTCCCACAATGCCTCCCCACGCGCCCAACCACGGCTCGACCCACGTCGTCAAAGCGTCACAGAAAGTCAAGCAGTTCTTTGGGATCTCAAGAAACAAGTCGGACCTCGTCGACAAGCACGACCAAACCACCGATCTCCTCTGCTTTCAAGGCGATCGACAAGAAGTCATCATCATCAAGCATTAACAATATGACTGGTATCTATTTTGCTTGGTTTTGGTGTGTGTTCCCACGTCTTGACACTCAGAAGTCGTTTCAAACGCATGTCGATGTGCAAAAGGTCCCTGTAGGATTAATGATAGGTACACGGACTTACTCACTTACTCAAGCTATTCACTCTCCAATTTTGCCGACCCATGCGCACAAATTTGGGCGATTTGATGTACCGCGGCGTTGACATGGCGAATACTATGATTCATTCAAACCAGGCCCTGGGAACGCTATAGTACTTTGCCAAGTATGAAATGTAGCTTCACAACCTGTTAGCTTCGTAGTCAATCACAAGGATCGCTCTAAGTCCCCTCACCTCCGCTGCTGACTGATGCCCCAAACACTCAGTCATCAACACTTGCGCCACTGTCCACTTTTCGCACACAAGCAACATCTTGTCGGCCCTATTTCGAACGTTCTATGGTAGCAACAGCCTTTGCGACGGCCGGCACATTCGCTGCGTCGGAATCTAACGCTGGGTTCGCCACGGCCAAAGTGACAGAAGGCGGAAGGCCTCTTTGCCTTTCTTGGAGGAGACTTTCGCAGGTTTGCCTCCTTGCCCGGCTTGGCTTTGGTGTCGACTTGATCTGGCTGCACCAACGCGTCCCCTTCAGGCAGGCTGTAATATGTAGTGTATGTACTAACGGTATTAGCTTACGTCAAGGAAAACATCGACATTCCGACGTCAACGCTGTTGATCAATTGCCTTCACTAGGAACTAAGCAGCTTTTCAGATGAAAACAATCTGACCCCAGAAAGCGCACGTTACCCACTGATTTCTGAACGTGAACTCCGGCATCAAAACTTAGTTCGGGTACTGCATAGAAAGCGGGCTTACGTGCCTGCCGTCCGTGCCGCTCAGCGACCATCAGTGAACGTGCCTTTTGTTCTACGCACCGTACACAATATCTACGCGGACTAAATAGCTACGGGGTCCTGGTGCTCATAATAACTACCCCAGTAGCAGAAAAAAGTACAAACAGTAACGTTACTCCGGAGTTGTACATCGTCAGTACTACCGGTAGTACTAAAATGTATGTATTACTTCGAAGTAATACTGTACAGTACTTATATTGTCGTCGTTGGATCCTGTGCCGCAAATACCGAATATTTTCACGACGTATTTCGGGGGATACGAATAACTGCTGAATTATTGGAGATTCGAAATGAATTTCCGGACCCCGTTCATCTCGCCGAGCGAATCCAGCACCAATCTCTCCCATTGGTCATTCCAAAATAACTTGTCGCTGATTGGCTACAATCCATTTTCGAGTTTCTACTGGAAAGGGCGCAGTGGATATTGGCCAATCAGATGTCTCGGCTCTATTTGTGCTCGATTGAACAAACCATGCAAAATTGGGAAATTTGAAGAAAATCGACAATACAAGGATGGTAGAACTTGTTGGGTTTTGGTAGGAAGTGGTATTAATAAACGTTAGGACACAAAAACACTAAGACTTATATACAGGACCGCAGTAAAAAGCACTATTTTGGTGCGCGACTCGAATACATATACTACTACTGCACAATACTAGTCGTATATAGTTTCAGCGTATTTCTAATCGACGGGTCGTAATTGTGTACGGAACGGTACTTGGTACTATTAGTAATACTAGTAGTCAACAATGTTCTACTATAGTATTACTATAGCAGTACAGCACTACAGTACTAAGTCATTGATTGTAGTACAGTAGTGCATGGAGCGACAGAATGCAAACCTCGTCGAACAACTTTCACGTCAACGTTAGACCGGCTACGGCAGTACGCAAACACAATGATTAACTGGTTGTTGGCAAAACACTACCGACTACAACATTTAGCAACGGTCACCGGCCACAGCATCCTTGGGCAACAAGTTCTTGGACTTCAACAGCTTGATGATCGATTCGATCTTGTTGCCCGTGTTGGCACCCCCCGTGGCAGTGCACCCCCCGCAGTTGTGCAGGGCCACGACCTTGTTGTCAAGGGCGCCAACGATGGGCGACCCAGAGTTGCCACCAATTGTGTCGACGTTGTACGCCAACGTGTCTTGTTCCCCGCACAGCGAAGCCGTGGACGTGTTGGTGATACGGGGGGCCTTGCCGTCGTCGCTCACATACGTGATGTGCTTGGGGCGGGCGCCAGGGTGACCGACAATGTAAATGGGGTCGTCGAGCGGCACGGCCGACTCGCGGGCCTGCAAGTACCCGAACTTGGTGATGTTGATGCCAGGGTTCACGTTCAACTTGAGCAGCGTGAAGTCCAACGACGGCTCGGTGATGATCAACGTCGAGCTGTTGGACACGTAAGTACCGACGCACGCACCCTTGACGTTGTTGTTGGGGTCAGTGGCCGTGGCACATTCGGCACCGAACTCGGCGATGACGACCGACGCACTAGCTTGGGTGCCCACACAGTGGTTGTTGGTCACCAAGTGGCCTTCCGAACCCCACAACCAGGCGGTGCACCATCCCCCAGTCATCCTGAGGCGGGCAACGGCTTGGCCCAGTTGATACTTCTTGGCTTCGACGTCCTTGAGGGCCACGGCGGGTTTGGCCTGGTCAGTCCCGCAGATCGATTCCGTCCCCTCGGGAACGATGTCGGCCGACGCGATCGCAGCGACGGCAATGATGGTGAGAGTCTTCAACACGGAGTACATGGTCGAGGGGGATGGATGCAAACGACTAGCAAGTAAATTTGAAAATGAGCTCGAGAGGGGCTGAGGGGCTGAGAATCAGACATGCAGTAAATTGCATGGAGGGCCAATATGTTGCGTGATTGCGGATGATCCAAGTGGATGAAGCGGAGTCGGATTCTGGCCAATAGTGTTGGCTCAATCGGTGTGCTCCTACAGTACACCACATATCGCATACTAATGATCTTTTGTACTTTTATTAAAATGGTCCCCCGACACATACAAACATATCGATAGAGGCCACGAGACATCACCGAAACGTCGATATTATTTCATGAAAAGGCCACGACGTGTGTAACGATGCCCAAGCACCATTCGTTGGGCTACGACACCGGCCAAATCAACTGAGCAATTCTGTAATTGCCACCAAACACCGTCGTAGCAATTCTGTAATTGCCACCAAACACTGTCGTGTTGGAATTTAGGCCCTCACACTGAGTCTTGCGGAATTTGTTCCTGCTAATGCCTAACGGGGCTGCTACACTACTCGGGTTTTGGGGATTGATTCCCCACACCCAAACGGTACTATGAATTGTGGCAGTATGGATGGGTATTGTGTAGGAATAGGATGTAATTACACTCAAGGAATCCCTCACCGGCCCAAAAGGCGGCCAGTTACATATCGGATGGAAAACCTAAGAATGTACCGTAGGTAGGTACAGTAGGTAGGTACATTACCCAATGGTTTCGTCTTCATTCATTCTACCTGTTACTGTACAGTAGTGTATAAGCATTTTTCAATGACAACACTGCAATCTATAGCGCACATCGGCAAGTCACTCTCCACCACACACTTTCTACCGTAGTCCAATACATCATGCTGGACAAACCCTGAAAAACGTTCAATAAATCTGGATAATAAGTTATCGTTCAACCAAGACTGAAAACCGTTAAAACTAATACACTCTAGTTAGATTAGGCATACTTTTTGTACTCTGACAACCTCAACTCCTACTAGGGGATTTAGCATTATACACTTCGAAGTATGTGTACGCGGGGGTAGGTCCCGGTTACGGGAAGAAAATTTGCTTGAACGGTTTTAGTACCGGTATTGGCTGAACGGTATCCAGATTTCTTGAATGTTTTCCCAGAGTTTCCCATCATGCTGGTGTCAGTTCCATAACATGTGGTTCTAGTGTCGGCCCTCGCGGAGGAATGTCTTAAAAAATGATAATCCAAACTCAATTAACCATCATGCTGGTGTCAGGTTATATACCCACCATGAGTACAACTCATAAAGTGCCAGCGGGCATTACACATTACATCTCTAACGTTACTACCCGGTAGTAGTTCGAGTCAACAAACAAGGTTCGACAAGTGGGAACGCAGTGCCCGTTGCGCGAATTACGATCACGAAGTACAATAACCACTACATTTAGCAGCGGTCCCCGGCTACAGCATCCTTGGGCAACAAGTTCTTGGACTTCAACAGCTTGATGATCAATTCGATCTTGTTGCCCGTGTTGGCACCCCCCGTGGCAGTGCACCCCCCGCAGTTGTGCAGGGCCACGACCTTGTTGTCGAGAGCGCCAAGTATAGGCGAGCCAGACGAGCCCCCTTCCGTGTCGACGTTGTACGCCAACGTGTCTTGTTCCCCACACAGCGACGAGGTGGACGTGTTGGTGATGCGGGGGGACTTTCCGTCGTCGCTCAAGTATGTGATGCGCTTGGGTTTGGCACCAGGGTGCCCTGTGATGTAGATCGGGTCGTTCATGTGCACGGCTGAGTCGCGGGCCTGCAAGTACCCGAACTGGGTAATGTTGATGCCATGGTTCACGTTCAGCTTGACCAACGTAAAGTCCAACGTGGGGTCGGTGATGATCAACGTCGAGCTGTTGGACACGTAGGTGCCGACGCATGCCCCCTTGATGCCGTTGTTAGGGTCAGTGGCCGTTGCACATTCGGCGCCGAACTCGGCGATGGCCGTGGCAGCGTCGGCGGCGGACCCAATGCAGTGGTTATTGGTCACCAAATGGCCTTCTGATCCCCACAACCAGGCGGTGCACCACCCCCCGCTGATCTTGAGGCGGGCAACGGCTTGCGCCAATTGATACTTTGTCGTCTCGGAGTCCTTTAGGGCCACCGACGCCAGAGATTGATCGGTGCCACATATAGCTTCGGTGTCGCCAATGACATCGCCAGAGGCGGCCGCCATCGTGACGACAGCGAGAATGGTCAACGCTTTCAATGTGGTGAACATGGTGGAAGGGGGGAAATGTGAAAATGACCAAACTGGCGGGGCAAACTGCAGGGACTACATGGGCCGTGACCATCATGGATTGCTGACACGAGATCAGTATCAAGCGTAGAGCTGAGGTGGTCCACGAATTTCTTGAAGTTCAGCCGAATATGTCATGCACTGATTATACAATACTTCGTAGTATACATACTTACTACATTTTCATGTTCGATTATTTATCAGTACAAGTTATAACATCTGCATTTAAACGCTTCAATGGCTACAAATCGTGACTGCAACTACAGACCTCCACGCTCCACGTTACTTAACCCAGCGCTTAGCCACACCAGTTCAAATACAGTACCGGTACTGGTCGTTGGGAACATTGTTAAATGCACCGCTTCGTATATACTAGTATATGATCCAGGGGCTCATCAATTTGATCATAGGCAAGTGAGATGCACTGTACCGGTAACTTTACGCTAACTCCTCTTCCGATCCAGAATTGATGG